GAGGCCCAGCCTGAGTTGAGCAACTCAACTTTGCGGCCGGAACGAGTTATCTAGCCAGCTAAGTGAGAGGCATGCATTCAAAATGACAAGATGGCCTCCAACGATGTGGTCCTTAATTGGCATAGATAGAATCACATGAGTCAACCTACACATAGACTCCGCCCGGCCTCTAGTTACATTATCCCATGGTTCTTTTCCACGATAGCAAATATAGCCTACTATGCTCCGATATCCACCTATATCTCGCAGGTGACAGGAAATCACCTGGCTTCTACCGAGCTAAGCATGGCTAAGCATATACTCGATCTTGGACCTACATAAGGTTTAAGGAATATTTTTGGACAAGGAAGTTATATGCATCAAGTGTTTCCAATCAACTCCTATAACCTAATGCATCAAACATAAAGGATGCAAGTGATATTTATAAAAACATAGGAGGCTTAGAATGCTCTGAGGCTTGCCTATGATCCAACATAAAGTCAGTTTAGTTAGCTTGCACCATCTTGGGGAACATCTTCCAATCTAGGCATGCACTCCAGGGGTCCTTCCATCTTCGGGATAGGTCCACCAACACCGTCTTCTGGTTTGACTCCATTATCATGTGCTTCACATCCACACATTGTGCATCTAGTGTACTTCGATGAGATGCAACAATACAAATGCATGAATACAAAGAATGGTAACATGAGATGCATCATATAAAAGCATTCAAGACAAGTATAAGGTTACACCTCAAGACATATGCCCTTAGAGAGCAAGTCATTTAACCTAGTATCACTCAAGTCTAGCATAGGGGTAGCAAGCATAACAAGCATGGCACTCTAGTTAACTCAAGTCAAACTATTACAAGCATTTAACAATCAAGAACTAATTAAGCCTAGCATCACATAAGAACTAGGGCGGTGGTGAACGACACCAACATAATTAAAGCTCTAGCAAAACATGCATCAAGATCATTTTGTGGCAACATGCATACATGACCATTTATTAGTTACCTTAGGTAGATCAATTTAACTCTAGTAGAAAGCTTATTAAGTTACTTATAACTTTATTATTATTATCTTAAGATGATTTCATAGCTAACAAGGCTAAACAACTCAATGAAGACATCTCTGTCCAGATTTGAACAGAACCTGCCATTCCACTTTGAACAATAATAACTTGAGTTCTAGACCACCAAAAGTAGTGATCTTAGACATTTTACAAAGCTTAGGAAAAGCACTACAACTCTTCTATTATCACCAATACATGATTCCATGTTTAAATAAGCCAAACAATACAATCATTCAGATCTGTTTAGAGCACATGCAAAAGCTGACAACAAACTTGTAAAATCTATAACTCCTAAACCAGCAGCCCTAAAATCATAAAATTTTAGGAAAAGAAGGATAAGGAAATTATCTACAACTTTTGTATTCAACATATCTATAGAAAACATCATTTGTATCACGATAATATCACCATTTATGCATTTACCATTTATGTTGCTAACAACTAACATGCAGCCATAACAGAGATACAACTATATGCATTTACTATTTATGTTGTTAACAACTAACATTTTGTTGCTATATATGCAGCCTCATGCAATTCCTAACTATAACCAAGCAATCACATTACCTAGCACCAATTATTAGAAGTATTACATGGCACAAACACAAGCATCTACTAACTTTCATTAGCTTTTCTATATATATAAAAACATATATATTAATTATAGGTGATATTGCAAATATCTCATTTCGATCTCAAATATTTATGAGAGATAGATGATGACAAAACATGATTACTGTACAAATATTACTTGCTCAGGTTTTATAGATTAATTATTACAAAAAAGATAAATTGCTATTGAAAGAAAACATGTGAGAGCAAGATAAATCTAAAACACACTATTTTCTACAAACACATGGCCATATTATATGTTATTATGGTAGCAAAACATCATACAAGGGTAGAGGAATAACATTTTCAATTTTTACACCTTCATAAAAATTATAACCTATGTAAAACCATTTATCAAGCACTAAACAAGTTAAATCAATAACTCAAACATACTGCATCTAATGAGTATGAATTTTTTACCACATCACACATATAGCATCAGTAGCCTACCATAAAAATTTAATGGCAATTGGAGCACCATAACTTTATATATGAATTTATTTCTAGAAAACCCTAATTAACATAGATAAATTAAAACAGCAAAAACCATCTACTAACACATATCATATTATGACTCTAATGCATAAATCTACTTTGTAGGATTCCAAAAAGTCTTCATTTGTTATTTTACAATTTTTCTAAGATTTATTATGATTTTCCAAAGTTTCAGCAAAATTAAAAGCAACAAAGGAGAAACACATTTGCATTGGAGACCCTGAACTTTCCTCAAATACCGATTCCAGCGAACAGGTCCTTCTAGGCACTATTCATATGAGTCTAGGGTTCACAGTTAGGCCCTTCCCTTTCTTTGAATTCTTGCACGAGGTCCTCCACACGAATTTAATAGAGGGGGTCGTCGGGGAGGCCAGGATTTCGGCCAGAGAAGGGCCAGCGGCGGCGAAGAAGGGCTGGCCGGGCTGCGCGGCTACAAGGCGCGCCCGCACGCGCTCGTAGCATGGCCCAAGGCGGCCCACGGCCTGCTAGCCACAAAAGGAGGCGGGTGGGCGAGGACGACCGGGAGGTGGCTCATAGAGGCCGGGCCATGTGCACCGATGGCTAGGCTGCTCCGGCGGTCTCCCGCTCGGCCGAGGAGCGCCGGTCGGAGAGGAGAAGGAGGCGAAGGCGGTGGTGCACGTAGCTTGGGCAGAGAAGGCCTGGAGGGTAGGGAACGTGGCAGCGGTGAGCTTAGCTCGCCTTAGCCATGACGGCACATGCTCCGGTGCGAGCAGGGGTGAGGGAGAGCGCATAGGGAGTGGAGAGAGTGAGGGAGAGACTGAGAGGGGGCTTGGGTAGCTCCAAATCGAGGTGAGGAGAGGGCAGGGATGAGTGGTGTAGAGGAGGACATGCAGCACTGAGCATGGGAGCCACGGGGCGTTGCGTTGAGCACGTGGCGTGCGGTGAAGTGGGCAAGGTGGGAGCCAAATTGGGCCGGCTACGGGACGATTTGGACCTTGGGTCCAAAAGCTAAGTTGCAACCCAAGAACAATGCTACAAATTTCATTTAGGTACCGTGGTCATTAGGGTAGTAGATTAGCGGTTAAATAAGCCCTAAGTTGACACCGTCAATGACTTAACGAGGTTTAAGGTAGAGCTCGGTTTTGTTGGTTTTCGGAGGTCAAACTAAGTCAAACTTTTTACAGGCTCTTCTCCAACAGGTAAACTCTAACTTTTATATTTGGCTCAACTTGAGTTGATTAACAAAAATCCTAGAACACGAGATGCCAAACATCATCAACATTGTAATCTCAGACTTAGCCAAATTTTCAAGATCCAAAACAGCACTGGGTTCAGTTTTGAGGCCTCAGTTTGACAAAGTTAGGTGCCAAACTAGCTCTTGACCTTTAAACAAAGTTTGTTCCCCAGAGGCCAAACTACAACTTTCATTTAGGGTCAAACACCAAAATAAGTACAGAACTTATAGTTCTACTTTGGTCAAAATTGCATCTTAAATATGCTTAAATCATCGTTTTTGATCCATTGAGGCATTTTCTGGGCATTTGCTCAACATGAACCCTTCATAGCTTTCGTTGTAGAGTCCAATTAGAGTCATTTGGGCAAGGTAGCAAGGTTTGGTAGACATCCCATGTTCCCATTCACCGGATGAAGCAATTCAAGAAAGATTATAACTTATCATTTCATGTGACTTCTTGGCTCCAAACTTCATGAAACTTATCCAATAGTCAATGTAGATGTAAATAGATGTGAGGCACATGAAAAGGAGCACCTTCCACATTACTCAAGCCTACATTTGAAAAGGGTCAGCATGTAAGCAAGGTATATTGTCCAAGTTCAAGTTGGAACTCAATTTCATAGATTTGAGCTCAACACTTCCATCACCATTTCAGAGATAAGGAACTAAAGCTCCTGATTACCTCTTGATCTATCATGTTTGAGCTCAAACCCACTGCCTAGCAAGTGGCTAACACCCGAGGTGTTACACATACTCTCCCAAAGAAATAACTTCAAAGGAGGAAGAAGACCTTCTGATCATAGGTTCAAGAAGATCAGAGACAAAAGCTAGAGAAAGGTGAAACATACATCGCACCAACGAGACAACAAGAAAGAATCTCCTTAAGCCGTGGTCTGGGAGGAAGTTGATGGCAGCACCCAGCAGGACCTTCACCTCCTTTAGTTCGTCTTAGTCACAGTCCCCGGCCTGGACACCCTCACTTCCTCTCTAGCTCGAACGCCACTATAGCCACATCAGATCTCAACGTGGCTCCCTCTGAAAGGTTCATTGTGAAAACAAAACCAATACTAGTGTTGCGTTTCAGATCGCATATCTCATGGCGGCAGTCAAAAGGAGTGGAGAATCCCGCCAGATCCCACATGGTCCACTTCATTCTCACAAACTCAACAAACTCATTTACTGCGAGATACTTTGAAGACAACTATACATATTGTGGCATGGTCACCACCACACGGCCACCACACCATGGGGTTAGAGATCACAGTTCCAAACATGTCCTAGTATGGCACTTTTAATATTAAATGTACTAAGAAGCAACAAGCTTGCAAATTTAGTGACAACCCCACAACTACAGGATACAAAAATGCCAAAGAATTGATGAATATAAGTTAAACAAATCGTGTGTGTTTCGGCTTGAGAAGTTCAACAATACTACATAAATATCTCGGAGTATCTCCATACAGGAATTACATATGCGAATAAATAGTTTTATGCGACAAACAACGTACAATGACAACTCAAAAAATAAATTAAAATGCGATTAATGATGAAGTAGTGAATGAATCATTCTTGAAGCAATAGCACATTTTCTGCTTGGCTTAGCTATGAGCTCTAACATACTCCGACGAGTCAGCCCTGGTACACATCATTGAGTTCCTGCTGGCCACTCCTTTCTAATCTCAAAGTAGTAACTCATCTCCAGGTAGCACTTGCCATCATCATCAACAAACTGAGAATGCGGCATTAGTGATTGGTGAAGCATCTTCAAGCATCAAAGGAAAAGCGTGGTAAGTATAAATACCTTTAATTTAGCAGAATAAGAACCTCTTGCAAAAATGCCAGCAGGGGTGCTCTCTTCTTCGCCCTCATAGACATAGGGCTCTAACTGGGGGCTGAATGTCCCCAGCATCATCTTCTGGTTCTCCACTGCAATAAACGTTGAAAATATCAACAACATCATTTGGACAATGGTAGAAAGATTACAAAGGACTAAACCCTGCTCCTAAACCAGATGGTATGTTCTTATGTTATTCTTTGGGGTTGGATGAGCAATGCAATGACTGATATGACATGTAGCATGAACCTGATTACCTGATTATTCGATATATACATCATGTTTAATCTTAAAGTAGAGTTCCATTACTTTTGTTCTATAGTAGCAGTTACCACATTACCAGTATTACGACATCTTAAATTGATTACATAATCATGTGAACCATGTGATGCCTCGTAACCAAGATCAACCACTAAAAATTTTATTATTTAACTGCACTAAAGATGCAAATTACACTTCAACTTTAAGTATATCTTGAACTAGAGAAATAGAAAGTTGTTACTTCTAAAAAAAAGAGAACGAAACGGCAAGTTGACAGTACTCATGTCTGTTGTTTAATTTGAAGCAGAGTATCAGATGAGATGCATACGTTCCCTTTATGTGATCTGTACTATATATGTTGGTTCGCGAATTCTCGGTGACAGCATGTTGACTCAAAGCTGATGTGAAGTGTTGAGAATACTAGTTATCATGCATTACGCTTGTGAGGTCCAAACCTTTTACTCCAGTTTTCCAGACAGTGTTGGTGTACTTCAGGCCTGACACGATGTTGTTGGAGACGATGAAGGAGAAACGGAAGCTGTAGGGGCTGCCATCCTTGAGAGCAAATGCATAGCCCTTTTCGTCCGCCTGGAATGGGATCGGAAGGACCAGATCCGATCTGCCAGGTGAAAGGATTGTCAGGTTCAGCACCTTAACCTCTGGTTCCGCGGTTTCTGCAGGAAAAATGTTCGTTTGTTGAGGAATGCACCATGGCTCGATCCATATGAACATGAGGATATACAGGGTGATAAATAAGAGGTTATAATCACCTCCCAGCTGCTCTGTGTCGACTTGCCCAAGGAGTTGCTCCTTCCACCTCCTTAGGCTCTCATCGTCCTATGAAAGCAAGTAGCAGATCATCAGAGTAGTTTTGATTGTTCAGAAGAAACAGAGATGAATATGTCAAATCCTACATCAAAGCAACGCACCATTGAATTATTCAGGCATTGATGATACATACCTTGTCGAGCTCGAGCTGTTCCTTGAGGGGGACCTGGGGGCCAAGCACGACAATGCGCTTGTTACCTTCTTCGTCCTCTTCTTCCTCCACAACGTCGATCCCGTCGGCGTGCTTCTCCTTCACCTTCTCTTTCTCTTTCTCCTTATCGTCCATGGGGTTCTATGCACACGGTTGCGCTCCCAACGCGGTTGACAGGGATGACGGTGGCGCGCGTGAGAGAACCAATGACAATGGAGAAGAGGAGGACGGGGCAGCACTACTCAAAGTTTGCGAGCGGGATCCCAGTGGTGGAGATAGAGAGGGAAGAGAAATGGTCCGTAGCTTACAAGAGAGCAGGCCGGGCGGCCGCGGAAGTGGCGCCCGGTGTGCGCATCACCACTCGTTGTGTAAGTGCCTCTGCTGGGGATCCAGGGAGCCAACCGTTACGTTGCACCGCTCGTTACGCTTTGGCATGGTAGTTTCTGTGGTTGGCATGAATTTTCCTGTTGCGTTTGTTTCTTCCCTTCCGTGTCGCTCAATGTTTTCCTTGTCTTGTCTCTGTTTTTGGGTTGAAAAATAAGTGCATGCATGCAGATTTACCTATTTTCTTAGACAGGAAAAGACTACTTGGTGAACAAATGCATAATACTACATGCATGCTGCATGCAGTCTAATTTGGACCAAGCTGTAATATATTCTTATCATGAAAATTATATCATGTCTATTCTGTTTTCTTTTGTTTGAAAGATCTATACTCCATTATCCAACGTCTGTTTTATGATTCCATGGCTTTCAGTGTTTTTAAGAATTTCCAAACATTCAATCCAACAATATGTTTTTTTAAACTTATTTAATACATGGCGTTGCTCGCACCGCTCATGCTATGTCCGGACTACTCGAGCCCGAGCCTATGCATGGCACAGCTGTACTCGCTCATGCATGTGGCTTGTCTTCCATCTTTCTTAACATGATAACATATGTAGAAAATAGCCATCATCAATTTTAAGGTCAGATAATCTCCATTGAATTTCCATAGGAGATTAATCTTTTATTGCATCTAGCACTTACTATGTGCCTTAAAATTTATTTGATTTAATTGAAAAGGGGCCAGGATCAATTGAATCTAATAAGATATAGCTATAGCTCATTAATCAGCATGGGCAGGTCCAGATCATCTCGCGACAAGCATGTGTCAACCGGTGGTGATACTTATCTCCGCCGGTTCATAGCCCGAGAGGTCCCTTCTGGATGACTTATCGGCCATGATAAACGTTTTTACCACCAGCCATGCGTATGGTCTGGCAATGAACATAGTGCTGGTCTTCACCGCCGTATGTTGTGTTTGTACGCACATGCATATTTGCCGGTGAGGAAAAAAGAAATCTCCTACAACTAAAAAGAACAAAAAGAAGATCACTGTTTGGTGCGACATTTCATCGGGTGGTCTTTGTGCCTACGACGTGCGAAACCGCGCCTCCCCGCGATCGGCTGTCGCAGAACCGACCAATTTATAAGAATACAAGTACAATGGCAATCCGCAAGCGGTCGCACTGTCATACTTGAACCTATATAAACCCGGTAGTCCGTCGAGTACCACGACGGGTCTCGATAAACGATTTACAACAACCAAGATCGTACAGGATTCAACATACATGCCACATATTACATAAAGTTCACAGATACTTTTCATCATCAGAGTACGAATAAAAGTTATTACAAACCGAGTTTGATAAATAAAGCGGAAGCAAATAAGTTCGAAGATAAAGTTTCCAACATAGTTTAGTACAGTGCCAAGCTATATCACGATCCACAAAAGCAAGGGTAGGAATTAATAAAGAAGCCTGCCCAAGGCTTACTCCTCATCCACAGCGGGATAGAAGCAACTCTTGCATTAACCATGATACACAGTGCCATCTGCAACATTGGGAAAATAAACCCTGAGTACGAGAAGGTACTCAGCTAGACTTACCCGTCATGAACCAGAAAATAAAACGACTCCAAGGATTATGCAAGGCTGTATAAGTGGACGTAACTTGACAACATTTTTGCATAAAAGCAATTAAATCATGGTATAGTTACTAATTCTTTACCAAGTTAATTATAACTATTCATTTCTAGGTTAGCAACTATACTATGCCAAACATGTGGTACATCCTTTAGAAGCATACAATAGTAACCATAGCAGGTATTGTAATTCCATTTTCGTCCGAACCATCATGTTACATAACACAGTTACTACGATGTTGGGACTAGCCAAGTTTCTCACTATCCGGGAGAGACGGCGATTCGAATCAAATTCAACCAGCTAGAAATTTATTCCTAACACAAACCCAGGTCTACCAGCCACGATAGCCTTAGGTCACCTTTGGTACAACTCCGGTACACATTTCACGGGTCCGTACTGCGCCGCACAATCTGGAACACCAGATGCCAGGATGCTCAGGCCAAGCCTGCCCTTGGGCTCAGTCTGATCGTTCCCCGGAAGGAGCGCACAACAGAACGATTCCCGGCCTGAGTTGAATTACTCGGCTTCGCGGTCGGAACGAGTTATCCGGCCAGCTAAGTGAGAGGCATGCGTTCAATCTTGTCAGAAGCACCAACAACGGTACGGTCCTTAATCGACATAGACGGGGATAAATCCACACCCAAGCCTCCATGTCTTGTTGCTTCTCTATCTACTTCCCGTTCGGTCTCGATTTACTTTTACCACATGGTTCTGTTCCACGATAGCAGATATAGCCAACCGTGCTCCGGTATCCACCTATATCTCGCAGGTGATAGGACATCACCCGACTTCTACCGGTCTAAGCATGGCTAAGCATATATATTCGATCCTGGACCTATACCGGTTACAGGTGTAATATTTGGACAAGGAATGTACATGCATCAAGTGGTTTCATTCAACTCTTATAACCTAATGCATCAATCATAAATACGTAAGTAAACATTTGTAAATTACTGGGGGACTTATAATGCTCCGGGGCTTGCCTCGCAGAAAGAAAGTAGGGCGATGGTCAGGACACTCCGGAAGCTCTTCAGGGTTCTGCTCCACGCCTTCGGGAGCTGCGGCTTGCGGATCCTCCTGCGGGTTCCCTTCCTCTGCTTCTTCGAATTCCAGCAACGCGATCTCTTTCTCCGATCCTAGATGCATGAGTATGGTATAAGTATTACGAATGCATACATGTTAACAAGTGCATCACGTTGTTTGAGTAGGTGCATATCTCTTCTCGATTATTACTTAACTACTTCTACAATGCATCGACTATGCCACAAACAGTAGCTACTTGTTTCACTCATAACTGGAGTTCTACAAATCCAAATCCAGTGATCCTGGACTTTCTGGAAAGCTTATCAAATTCTCTACAACTTTGCTATTAACCATTTTTATAGTACACCTCAGTTTCAACATGCAACTCATCACACTCTAGAATCAGTCCGGAAATGATTTAACATGCAATATAAAGTAAGAATACTTCTACTTTAGGTAATCATTCAAAATTTGACAACCTAGAACCTACCAATAGTTTAAGCATACCAAATACAGTTAAGATGATATAATGGTGAAGCCCAAACTATTTATTAAATTGCCTTTATTATTTTATTTAGATATCTAGGTTAAATAATAAATATATATCAGATGTGCTTAATAAATTCTCAAAAATTTACAGAGCCTTACTAATGCTATCAAAAGACTACTGTAAAAATTTCATGTCATTTTACCAAGTAGAACATTCTATACAAAAATGACAAGGCAGCAAGGCTTGAAATAGCATAAATGGAAAATCCTATTGAAAAGTGTCAAGCAACAGATTTCATATTTTTCTTAGCATCCATATGGTACTAGGATTACCTCCAACAAATTTCATGAATTTTGGACTCATACTTAATTTATGAAAATTCATGCAAGGATTAACTAGTCATAAAAGAAAAATCTATAACTTTAAATCTACCCATGCACTGGTCCTCAAATTTTTACCAGAGTTCACACATGCTAAGATTAGTTCACCACAAATATTTCATAATTTTTGGAGCACAGGAACTCTAGATATAAAATAAACAAATTTGAATGCATTCAAAAGCACATTTCAAATCCCTATTTAAATCTCCAAAAATTTCTACTGTTGAAACCAAGAACATATTTTTCTTAAATAATACACTTCCTAAGGAACACAACCATATTTATTTCAAAATTTTAGGAGCTACCAAACTGAAGATACAAAAATAACAAAACACACTTGAATCTGGAATTTTTGAACTAGCTTTCAAAACTGCTGTCGCTGACCGGTGGGACCTACGCGTCAGTTGGACCCACACGTCATCGAGACGGAAACAGAGCCGGCGGCGCTAACCTACGGACGTGGCCAGAGCTCGTCGACGGCGAGGTTGCCGGCGGTGAGGTCTTCACGACGTGATCTACGTGACCTAGCGCATCTATTGAGCCACTTGGCCAGCCCTATCGTCGACGGTAAAGACGACGGCGGCGGCAATGGCGGAGCGGCAAGGCGGGACGACGGCGATACGCCGGCGACGACCTCGGCGGCTCAACCTAAGGTGCGGATAAGCAACTATGAACGCTGGAGAACCTAGCACGCTAGCCAACAGAGCGGGAGAAGGACTGTGGCGGCGTGGCCACGACGACGGGGCTCACGGCGGAACTCCGGCGAGCTTGCATGCGCTGCGGCTGCTTACCAAGTGCTGTCAGTGGGCACGGGAAGAAGCAATGGGGTGCTGGGGAGACGGTGGAGCTATGGCGGTGGTGCTGGAGTGGCTAGGCGCGAGCTGCGCGCGGTTATGGCGACGACGGAGCTGCAAGAGCTCGGCGGCTGCGCTTGCGGGAGCTGCGGACGGCGAAGGAGGAGTGGGAAAATGAAACTGAGGGCGCTGGGCGTTGCGGGCGGGTGCTGGCGTGAAGAAGGCGCGCTCGGGCGCGTCGTGGCCTGGCTGGGCAGAGCAGAGGCGACGCGCGGCCGTTTCTCCTCCACGCGGCGGCCACGGCCTGACGGCGGTCGGCCACTGAATCAGCCGATTCAGTTCGTCAGTCGCGAACGGTGATGCCTGACAGCGCGTTTTCAAGTCGACATATCCGCTAATCCATGGCTCCTTCGTGTAAACATCCTAAACAAATTTTGTAGACTCATGTACCAGCTACAAATGTTGTTCAATGCACTTATTCT